GAAATATATTACTGTTACTTCCTCCTCCCCCTACCCTTCCCATTAATGACATATTTAAAGGAAAAAAAAACATTGTGAAGAGGACTCTGAAGCCCTGGGATATTTTCAGTGAATTCATTGTAAATTCTAGGGCCCAGAAAATATTTTAGTGAGTATTAAGCAATTTGATGTTGAAGTTTGTCAGGCAAAGCTTGTCAGTGCCATTCTATCGGAATATTCATTACAGGTAGTCCTCAATTTACGACCACAATTGGGACCAGAATTTCTGTCACTAAGCAATGCGATTGTAAAATGCGACATAACGTGACCGCATTGCTTAGTGATGGCAATTTGGACACTCCCTAGTGGCGTCATTAACTGAATTCTACCGGTCTTTAGCCAAGGACCCATCCCAATCCAAGCCATTTCGGGCTTGGTCCCTCCCGCCCTGAGCCTTGGTAAGGTAAGAGACTGCCTCCAACTCCCCCACCTGCCTACCTTCCCCCATCTCTGCCCTTTTGGCCACCCTGTACCCTGCCTTGCAGGGTGGCAAGCAGTCCTAGAACCACACGACTCTGGGGCTGCATGCTACGCTACAGCTCAGGGCCTTCTTGGCACACCACGGCTCTGGGACTGCAATATTCCCCTGGGCCGCAGTGCAGCAAAAAGCCGCAGCTTCCCCTGGAAGCCTCAGCCACCCCAGCATGGCCCATGTCTTAAAGGAGCTTCCTGGCACGCCATGGCTCTGGGGCTGCAAAAAACTCCTGACCTGCAGCACAAAGGCAAGCTCCAGCCCAGCCCAGCCCAGCAGCACAGCACACAGGGGCTGCAAGAAGGCCCCTGAGCCACAGTGCAGCAGGAAGCCCTTCGCAGTGCAAAGCCCAGTCCCAGCCCAGCACAAAGGAGCTTGGCACGCCGCAGCTCTGGGGCTGCAAGAGGGCCCTGAGTCGCAGCGCAAAGCCCTTCGCAGCCTGAAGCCCAGCCTGGCCCAGCAGCTGTGACTCTGTGGCTGCAAAAAGCTCTTGAGCCGCAGTGCAGCGCAAAACCCTTTGCTATGCGAAGACCCAGCCCAGGCCCAGCCGCAGTTATCCTCACCACCCTGCACTCTGAGGCTCCTGCTGCCCTGCACTCCAGTGCTTCAGCTGACCTTCACTGTCTTCTTGGTCCCACTGCTGACAAGGCATGCCCAGCCTGGCCCTTCACGAGGGAGCTGCTGGACACATGAGGCCATCTTCCCCAGATCCCATGAGGAAACCACTGTGCATGACCTGGGGAAGGAAGCTGCTCGCAAAGGGCCAGGCTGGGCATGCTTGGTCAGCAGCAGGAGCAAGAAGATGGCAAAGGTCAGCTAGGGCAGCAGGGGCTGGGAGTGCAGGGAGCCAATGGGGGGAGGGAATAGATGGAAGGGAGTTGAAGCGCCCCTGTGATTGTAAGTGCAGGCAGGCTGCCAAGTGCCCGAATTTTGATCACATGACTATAGGGGCACTGCAATTACTGTAACTTTGGGGACTGGTTGTAAGTCCCTCCATTCAGCGTCGCTGTAACTTTGGTCACCAAACAAATGTTCAGAAGTTGAGGACTATCTATATAGATTCATATTCCACACAAGGCAGGAAGCAGAGCTTTACCAACAGTGGCTCCTTCTTAAAAAGTTTCACCCTCAAAATTATGTTTGAAAATAACTTACCCAAGTACTTAGCACAGGGAATCTGCATGACAGTCAACATTCAATACCAGAATGTTAAACCGGAAACAACAGATGATACCGATTCCAAAGTAAAGCAAATCTGCCCCAGAGTACAAGTAGTTCTTGAGTTACGACTGCAATTGTGACCAGGATTGCCATTGCTGGCAAACGATGCGGTCATAAAGCGCGATGTCACAGGACTACATTGCTTAGCAACAGCAATCCAGGCAGTCCAAGTTATTACCCTAACCCAAGATGCATGGGTCATTCAGCAGGAAGTGGAGGGAGTCCCTGGTAAGGAGTGTGGGGGTGCTACAGGGAGTGGGGGAGCCCTGGGGGGCTTGGCACAGGCCACGTAGGAGTCAGGGGAGGGTGTGCTTGGTGCAGCGTGAGCTCAGAAAGGCTGGGGAATGAGGGCGCAGGATGCATGCAGTCACAGGGAGGCCGGGGAAAGAGAGAATGGGGTACATATGTGCAAGCACAGGGAGGCCAAGGAAAGAGGGCACAGAGTGTGTGTGATTGCAGGGAGGTTATTGAAAAAGACTGCAGGGTGCATGCAATTACAGGGAAACCACGGAAAGAGGGCATGGGGTGCATACATGTGTGTGCAAGCACAGGGAGGCTGAGAAAAGAGGGCGTGGGGTACTTGGATGTGTGTTTGTGATCTCAGGGAGGCCATGGAAAGAAAGCACAGAGTACATGTGTGAATGTGTGCGATCACAGGGAGGATGTGGAAAAAGGACACGGGGTGTGTGCATGTGCGATCGCAGGGAGGCGAAGAAAGAGGATGCAGGGAGTGTGCAATCTCAGGGAGGCTGTGGAAAGATAGCATGTGGTACATGCATGTGTATGTACGATCACAGGGATGCCAGGGAAAGAGGGCGTGGAGTGTGTGCAAGCAAAGGGGGAAGGAGGGCACAGTGCATGCAAGCGAAGAAAGAGCAGGGGTGGGTGGGAGATTTACCCCAATGATTTGCAACCTTCCTTGCTGGCTTCCCATTGACTTTGCTTGGGGGAAGCCAGCAGGGAAGGGCACAAATTGCAATCATGTGACTGAAGGATACTGCAACTGATAAGTGCAAGCCTGAATTTTATTCATGTGACTGTGGGGGTGCTGCAATGGCCGGAAATTTGAAGATTGGTCATAAGTCCCTTCATTCAGCACCATGGTAACTTCGAATAGTTACTGAACGAATGGTCATAATTCAAGAACTACCTGTAAATGCTCAATAACTTGTGGACATACCTCCAATTTGAATTTGACTATTATATTCAATTAACTCTTGATCTGATTACAGATAATATAGACGTTTAGGCACAGTAATGTATCTGCATTTATTATTATCATTTTTGAAATCATGCTGAATGTATTTAATTCAGATAGCAATTACACAGGGACGCAAACATTATTTATGGTTTGTGTACCTATCTGAATACAAGTGTACTAGATAAATAAGCACTTTAAGTAATGAAAGAGCAAAAGATACAAATCACAAGAACTTTAATATTTTTTAAAAAAAACAAAAATAACTATTGAAGGTTAAAAACATGCAATTATGATTCAAAATTTTTATTTTTATATATTAAAACTACTGCTATTTAAATGTTAACCTCCTTTCCTTGTGATTGGAAGCTCAGAGAAGCTAACTATCCTTGATTTTGTTTTTCTTTACAGTAAGTCTGTGTGAACTGAGGCTGTAATAAACTAAGGCAAATGTCACGAGAGAAGAACGTCTTTAGCAATAAATCTTTGATTTTCTGGATAACTGAGGAAAGCATCTAATACCAACATTTTGACAAAGCTTAAAACTGTCTTGAAGCTTAAAACTGTCTTGACATTTTATGATTCTACGACTTTATACTACTTTAGTTATTTCAATACTCCTGCTTTTAATTTCGTGTGTGTGTTTTATGATGTTAGCTGGATTAGTGCGTTTTGTCTACTGCTGCTGTTTTTTAATGTCACAATTACTTCTGTTTATACTCATTGTTTAGAGTTAGATTTTGAAGATTTTGTATGTCATACTTTGAAGATATTTGTATGTGTACTTGTGGACATGCCTCCAATTTGAATTTGACTATTATATCCTATTACAAATTAAGTCTTGATCTCAGATTTAAGACTACAAGATTTAAGAGTACAAGACTATTACAAATTAAGTCTTGATCTCAGTATTAGATAATATAGACATTTAGTAACTTGTGTATAAAACACTTTGTGTACTGCAACATCAACAGTAAAGATATAAAATTTAAATAAATACTTATTCATTGATTCTCTAAAGTAGATAACTTGAAATATAAAAATATCAATCACTCATGTACACATACTTTTTGAAAAATGATTGCCCTTTATAATCTTCAGTAACATTTTTGATATACTGAAGAAAATGTACCCTACAAAATCTTCTAACCTATGCAGTAAAATCAAAGCATGTGATTTTCACAGTGAACAGGAAATGCCACAGAGCTTCTATAAAAGCAGAATACAGTTTCTGACTCACTTGCATTATAGGACTGGACTGTGATCAACAATCTGGAAGGAGTCAGAGGCAAAAACTAAGATCCAGTACCAAAATAATAATCAAAATTATATTTTTAAAAATATGAATCAGAACAGAATCATGCATAACCAAACTGCTCACATGAGGAAAAGAAAGTCCTTCACAACACGAAGAACCAGAAAGGATCAGAAAAATTATGACAAGGCTGCAATTACATGTTTCACCATAAGGGACAATATGCATTGTGTGACATTATGTGAGATGAGAAGTCTTTCCTTGAGTCTCCTGTTCTATAAGCTATCACATAGGAGAGTTCTGAGGGTCAGACTGATCTTGCACTGCTGACCTTTTATAAGTTTACTACAAGAAGCATAGTGGTTCTCTGTAAAAGGCTTGGATTTTTTCTGAATAATAATGGCAATCAATGGAAGGATTTCACATTTAGGAAATAAGGGCATGGAGAAATATTATCTAATAATATGCTCCAGGCATCAGACAGTTCACAAATAATATATAGATACGTAAACATTATAGGATTGTTTGGAAGAATGTGCTGAAACACATCAAAAAGACTAAACATAAATCCACTGACCAGGATCTTATGAATATTGACCTACCATTGGACAGATTATTTAAAAAAAAGAACATCCAGCTTCAATCACATTCTTCCTTTGGGTATTTTTCCATTCAATATCCAATGGTGGCTCAACTAAAAAAATAGAATAGTTTACTCTGCAGTGTAAGGTAAATAAGATTCTATGTTTTTGATGTTATAGATGTAAAAGCTTCACATTCCAAAAGGAAGGCTGTTCCCAGATTGTTCTGCTTACCTGGCCGTAAGACCTTTGAGCTGTTGAAAACTGCTTCTTGCAGGCTGCTACGAAGAGGCTGGGGGTTTGAGTTACCATGGAGATCTTTACATTCAACAGTGGAGAAATCTGGAATGATACAATGAATTATTTTGTCAGGTGAACCTTAGAATGAAAACAAATGTACCATATGTCCAGTTCCTCCAGTTTATTTTCCAGTACCAGCAAACAACTTACTGTGTAATCAAATGGAATCAAGATAAATTTGGACAGTTAAATGCTCACCTTTTTTTAAAAAAAAAAATCCAAATGGATAAGTACTTAAACTCAGTCCAAAGCTCAATATCCAATACCTCTGGTAAGGCAGTAAAAAGCCCATAGATCTGTTACCAATCAATCATTTGGTTCACACATCACACTAAGTATATAACTTTCTTGGTTTTGAACCTTGGCTTATGACTCAACATAACAGGTCACCAGGTTCAGCATAACAGGTTACTAAGCTTTACAGAAACATAGTTGAAACAAGGCATAGCTTAGTGCAATACAGGTAGTCCTCACTTAATGACTGCCCTGTTTAGTGATTGTTTGAAGTTACGATGGTGCTGAAAAAGTAACTTTGCAACTGGTCCTCACACTTACAACCAACGCAGCATCCCCATGGTCATGTAATCAAGATTTGGGTGCTTTGCAACCAGCAGATGTTTATAACAGTCACAGTGTCCTGTGGTCACAAGATCACCATTTGCACACTTCACAGCCAGCTTCTGACAAGCAAAATCAATGGAGAAGCTAGCGGTAAAATCTCAAGTTGCAGTCACATAATGTCTCACTTAACAACTGCAGCAGAAGTGAAGTTGTAAATCCATCGCAGTCATGTGATGTCTTGCTTAATGATCTCATCACTTACCGGCACAGTTGCCAGTCCCAATTGTGCTTGTTAAATGAAGACCACCTGTATGCAAAATCAGGTGGGTGATATTTGGCTGCATGGATTAAGATCTGATTTGGTGCTAGACAGCTTACTGTGTTTCTGTGAGGCTGTTTGGAAGCTGAGATTCTCAGTATAAGGTTAATATGATTCTGGAGAGACATGCCACTGTTGCCCAATTCCAAATGGGAGAGGAATATGGAAATAAGGAGGACCGGGCCAGGAAAAAAACTAGAACACAAGAATAGATTAAAATATAGTGGGAAAAAAGATAATAAAACAAGATGAACAGAAAATGTCAGTAGGAGAAAAATGGAAGAAAGGAATTACAGCAAAAGTGTTGACCCAAAACTTCAGTTATTACAAAGAATTATGAAGTAAGTGGACTTCCAGGGGAGGTATGGAAAACTGAAGACAGCTCTGCAAAAACAGAGTAGAACAGTTCCTTGGAACCTCTCTGGATAAGGAATCCCCCACATGTGGCTGCTCATCATGAGGAGACTGCAGAACAGTGATTTTCTGTGGGTCTGAGCACCAGGAGATAACAGGATTAGTCATCTCGCTTGCAATCGCGGTGGACCCTTTAAAGGACACTAAGTTAGCAAATCTCACTTTCTAATCACTTTCAGAAATTGCCTATTAACCATCTTAAAGCTAATAGAGACCTTCGGAATGACAAGTTTGAAAAGTCATCATTGGGTGAGTTTATCTTCAATTCTGAACAAAATAAAAGTTAATCATAAGCGTAAGAACTTAAAGAATTTGAAATAAACAGCAAAAAGCTAAATAAGATTTTGATCTTAGAAAGTTATAAACCAATTAAGGGTGCAGATAAATTTGGAGTATTGACTTTCACTATAAGGTTTTGGAATTGACGATAAAAAATAAACAGCTTCTTATGGGAAACAGACTTATTTTGGCTATCCTGGCTATTGCAAATCATAACAAAAGATAAATGATGATTTTAGAAACTGGACACTAGAGGGGACTAAATATTTTAATGTTCTTAAAGTTTGTTAATACTGGGGCTTACAAAATGACACAAAACGTTGTAACATCAGAAATATTAAAGGAGATCTTTGAAGAATGGACCCAGAAATTAGTAATTACAACAACAGTGTCAGTAATGATGTCTGCTTCTATGGATAGACTATATCTAAAAGATGTTAATGAGGGAATTATAGATGTGGAACAAATTTAATCTGACGAGACAGAGAAAGTATAGAAAATGGAACTATAAATGACAGGCTAAGAGAATTATTTGGAAAAGGATGTTTTACTGGATATACAGAAGAAACTGGCTGAAGTTTTACAAATTAAAAGGGAAATACAAAAGATAAACCAAGAGAATGACCTGGAAAATGTTTTCTTATTGGATCTACAAAAGAGGCTTCTTAAATCTTCTATGACTTGGGCCATTTTTCTAAGGATCTGGTGAACAGAGATAGCCTTGGCACCATGTTAATGAACAGAAAAGCTTTGGTGGATTGATTAACTTTTATGAGAATTAAAATATTCAGGAATTATCATGGCAGTATGTTAGATTTTTTTACTACTGAGGTCACCTTATGCAGAGTTATAAGGTAATCACAAATCAGTCTGATTTGGTAGCCTCAAATGCAGATATAAGAATCAAATTTATATATCTAAGCTTCTCCTTTTTGAAAGGGGAAGTAAAAATATACTTTTACAATAAATATTTAATATCTCAATAAGATATAATAATAAAAGCTATTAAAATTTGTGACAATAACCCATGATTTATCCAAAGGTTGAAATTTGAAAAGCTATTTTGCCATACTTTCAAATGAAGAATCAAGCCAGAGCTTGGCAGAATTTTTACCATGGCAGAGAAGGGGGAGTAGAGAAAAAATTCATATCACTGGAGCTACCTCAGAAGCTTTTATTAAAATTGAAAATACAAGTTTAGTGCTTTCTGTTAAGAAGTAAGCCAGTGGTAACACAAACCATAAACAGAAAGAAATAGCAGCAAAGGGATATGGAGGAAACTAGGAAGTTAAAGAATTCTCAGTCCTGTCCAGAGTTTTCAAGGATGTTAACTGTGCAAAACATATCAATCTTTCTTCATATACACCTCTTCCAAGTATAGCAAAGAATCAATAAGAAGATGTGAGAATGAAAGACATAATATGTTGATTGGAAATTCTGGGAGCCATATTCTCAATTTATCTTGAAGGCAACTGGTTACAAAAGCTGCACTAGACAAAATTCATCATCTGTCTGTCTGTCTATCTTATTTGCTGATAGTTACAACCCTCAACCCTAAAGGATTCTGGGTGGCATACAATGATGCAGTATGCTATCCAGCCATTTTTAATAATTGTTTGTTGAATAAACCTCGTGGACTAGTTCACAAACAATGCTAAATCAAAATGCTGGGTTTACACATCATACAAAGCCCAAAACAAACAAACATATTATAGCTTATGAGTACGAACCATGCAAAAGGAAACAAACCGGTACAGGTAAATGCACTGATGGAATGTAATGACAATAGCAAAAAGAAAACTTTGACATCAGTCAACTATTCACATATGTTCCTACATCTACCACTAGTTGCCGCATCCACAATTGACTGTAATCAGTTGTGGGTGCGGCAATTGTGCTAGGACAATACTACAGTTAATACTACAGTTAGTCCAGTTCTGAAGTCAGGAAGCAGAGCCGCTTTCTGATGTTTCGCAAACAATTACAATAAAGTTATCAAACTCAGATAATGTAAGAAAGGCAGTAATAAAACAATCACGCAAATGTTCTCTAAGTGTCAATTTGGCAATGGTGGGATCATACACCACTCTTCTGTTCTTACTTTTAATTTAGAATGATCAAATCATATTCTTCTTTAGATACCTGATAGCAGAAACAGATCTGTAGCGATAACAAATCAAATTAAAGCACAATTATCTTTTAACTGCAGGAATGGCAGATAAATCATGCAGACCAATAGTTGCTGATTCAGGAAATGATTAGAAGCTAAATTAAAATGTCTTCTTGACTATTTATTGCTTCTTTCCATTTCACGTCAGCTTCCTAGAATCCATCCAATGTAAGCCTGAAAGGATAATGAGTTTCTGAACACAAACTCTAATGGGACATGTTGCATGAAAGCTTTCAGCATTTGCCTGGATTCTGCTTCCCAGCAGTACTAAACAACTTAAATATAATTAGCTGGAAGCTCTACGGGCTACATTTCTCCACTCGAATACACTCTTACACTAATCCATTTATCTGGCTGACAGCTGACTGAATCATCGGTAATATGAGGTCTATACCATTAATACTGTTGTGGTCAAAATCCCAAGTATCCTTTAATAGCTTTTTGACAATTGCATCATTTATAACTGGTAAACAAAACAAAAAGACACACACACATTTTTTTCTCCTCTTGACTGTATGTCTGTCCCACAATATAATCATTTTAGAAATGTGGACTAGGAAAGAATTGTTTGTTTACAGCATGCTAATTCTCTTTAGTGAAAGAAATCACTTTATGATCTGTTTTGTTGTATGCATTTTCCATCAAAGGAAATCTTCAAAAACAGGTTTTTTTCAGGAATAACTGCCCATTTACTCAATTACTAATTCTGTTTTCATCCACATTCCCTATCCTATTCATAACCTCTATTTGCCTCAGAATAGGATGTGGGGATCAGACTCCTGCAAATGCTAAGGTGACTTATTTTTCAGATTTTGATTTCATGAAATGTATAAGTACTAGGGAAATGCATACATATTAGGCTCGTGCATGCTTCACAGAAAACATGCTTTGGACTTTATATGGGCACCGCGTCTCTCTGCTCATTGAAGTAACCAGACCCCTTTTTTGAGAGTTTTGCATGAGCCTGAAAAAAAATGACACTTCTTGAAGAATAGCATTAACCTTAATGAATAGTTTCCTTACAGCAGTGCCATCTTATTTTCAAGCTCACAAAAACCTGGGAAAAGCGCGGCTACTTTAATGAATAGCAGAGGTGCTGATTCAAAGCAATTCTTCCTAATTATAACTGAAGCATGCATAACCTTAGTACATATTTTGATAGCACAAGATTTTTCATGCAATAAAAATGTCATTTAGATTTTCAGTTGGCAATATTAATAAATGAAAATGTCACCAGTACAGAAAGAAAGCAGCAGGAGGAATAAACTTCTGTTTATGGAACCATTGCAAGATACTGTT